TGTTCATTTAAAGGGATTGCTTTGGAATTTTAGTAATGTGTGAAAGATACTGATTACCATTTATTAGATCATTCTAATTATACCGATCCCAGGATTCACAGACACAGCTAAACCTAAAACCTAGCGGATCAAAAGTTATTTGTTTTTTGAATGTTTTATTTCGATACTTTTAGAGGAAATTTACACATTTGTTTAGTTTTCTTTCATGATTATAGTAATATTTGATATGTTTATTCTAGAGGAAGACAACATAAAATTAAAACCCTGCAAGTTGTAATAAAAATTTGTTTAGACAAAATAAGTTCTGTTTAGAATTGAAACTATAATATAAGTATTGTTAGACTCCTATTTTTCAAAATTTTAACCTGTCACGTTACCGAAATATTTGAACAATCCTTTAAATGGTTTCGAATGCACTGACCAATTGGTTTTGCAGTTTCACTACTCAAACCAAGCATTCTTTATTTGATTCAAAATCTACATTTTGTTTTTGCAATTGGTTTACAAAGCTTGCGGTTGAAGAAGATTAAAGTACTGAAGAGTTTAGATACCTCCTGGAGAATGTAATTCATCTAGTTAAAGTGAGAACCTTGAGCTACTTGAAGACACGAAATGAGAAGCTTTAGTAGCAGATTTGGGAGCAAGGAGAGAGAAAAGAAACCTGACTTGGGCTAATATTGGGTCAGAAGTCAGGACTAGGAGTGCAGAGGGGTCAATCCACCCTCATATTACTGAGTTTAAACCAAAACTCTGGTGAAACAAAGGAATCTTTGCTCTATCATTATACAGGCATATTTAATAGAATGTATTTAATGTATGAAAGAGCAGGATATTACAGCAAATTATTTTTAAAAGGTCAAATTTTCAGTATTTAAAAAGAAAGAATTGGCAGAGTATGTAGAATAGACTATGACTATGTAGAATATGTAGACTAGGTAGACTATGTAGACTAGGTAGACTAGGTAGACTAGGTAGACTAGGTATACTAGGTTTACTAGCTAGACTAGGTAGACTAGGTAGACTAGGTAGACTAGGTAGACTAGGTAGACTAGGTATACTAGGTAGACAAAGGTAGACTAGGTATACTAGGTAGACTAGGTAGACTAAGTAGACTAGGTAGACTAGGTAGACTAGGTAGACTATGATAAAGACTAGGCATACTAGGTATACTAGGTCTGCTAGGTAGACTAGGTAGACTATGTAGACTAGGTATACTATGTAGACTAGGTATGCTATGTAGACTAGGTAGACTAGGTATACTAGGTTTACTAGGTAGACTAGGTATACTAGGTAGACNTAGACCCAGAGCTAAGACACAATCTATACATTCTCAACCTTACTTCTTTATTTATGAGCAAGGATGTCTAAAATCTAAGACATTTAATCAAATCATTTCTTGAGGCGAGTATATATTTTAACAAGAATGGGATTTCATCGAGCTTTGACTGGTTTCAGTTTTCCAGTTTTGGTTTTAATCTATTTTTCATAAATTGAGTTGTTCGGCTGTTCAGAATATCGTAGAAAATTTATCAAATTTTATTGTATTAAAGTAGAGAAAAAAATTTAAGGTTTGATATCTTTAATTTCAGAGATATCTCCTTTCACTGTGATGACCAAGAGAATTTTGGAATTTTTCTTCCGTGGAATTTTGTAACCAGGTTTTAAACCAGAGAGATAAATCCTTGAGGTTTTGGAGTCCAGTTCAAATGTTCTGACTGATCACTTAATGAGAAGAGAACTGCTCTCCTTCACACCTAATTATAAGAGATACGTCATTCCAACCGTAGATTCCTATCTCAAGGTTTACATTAACATTTCCATACAAGAACTAGGATCTGCTTCATGTTCTCTAGGTACATTTAGTGTCAGTAGCTTTACTTGACGGAGCTGTTGGAGATCATAAAAATGCTATTTGGAATAATAAAAAACTAAATAACTTCTGCTTTTCTCTCTAAATATCAATATTGAGTAAAATGAATCAAAACGTAAATAGATTCACAAACCTTTTTCAAGGAAATTAGCTAAATTTAGATAAGTTATTTTCATTTTATATTTTAAAACTTTTATATGCCTTATTATTAATTTGCGTGGCATAGTACGTCTCTACAATAATATACACATAAATAATTTTAAGATCACAAAAAATTATTTTCTGTAAAATTATACACAAGAACTAAAATAAAGAAAATACATTTTTTTTGTAGAAATTAAAACAAGTGGTGCCTGAGTTGAATTGATTTAAGTTACGTTTATGTGGAAACAATTAAACGTTTCTTTGTACGTTGGAGATCTTTTTCAATATGGATGGTACTTTTTTCACCTTGGAAACCTCCTTTCAAAAAATTTGTAAAAAAAACTTATATTTTCATTTTCAGATGTAAATATCTCACTAAATAATATATCCTACAGGCTCGGGGTTAGGTATCTTTTTTTTGTGAACTGAATTTTCCTCATTAAAAATGGTTGACAAAACTACAAACCAGGTTTGTTTTGCAAGAATGAATTCAAGATTTACACATTTACATTGTAACTCTACACTTTATCATTAATGGTAGATAACTCACTAAAACAGATCTTCTCCGGGCTAAGTTTAGAACTTGTTCCGGGGATTCAGTATTGTTATCTTTATCCTTTGTTCGGTTTCATTGTGCAGCATATAGAACTGTGAAGGAGGCCCAACCAGATAAACGCAGAGCAGCTTGGAAGAAAAATATAGATCTGAACACGCTTTGATTTATGCAGACTGTATACTGAAGATTGCATTATAATTATATCCGTAGATAGCCTTAGCTGCGGAGCTAACTCTCTGGGCAGAACCCTTGGTCATAAACAAGATTATTATACCCTGTATCTAAACTAAGAATACAGACCAAGGATAGGGTTGGGTTGTGCTCCGGTAATAACTGTACTCAACATACAGCAAGCCAGACATTTCTCATACCTAGAGATCTGCAACTAATATCTTTATAATTCCAGACCTTCTCCACACTTGTCAGAATCCTAATATTTTAGGTGTCATCCCGGTAAGATACGATCTATTGAGAATAGGTTCATTATTCAGTGCGGTCAATCCTTGGTAAGGATCCAAGCCTGGAATCAAGATATCCTGGGTTGAAGGTTTGGGGATCTTTATTGAGTCATTAGCTGTCTGGACCCTTAGTAATTTGCACAGGGAAATCTAGGACAGGATTTTAGCATGGTATAAACTCGTCCTTTCTGAGGACAGCTCTATTTTCTCAAGCACAATCAACGCACCGATAATTGGTCGTTAAAAGGGTTTTAAAAGTTTGCTCTTTACTTGAGAACAACTTGAGGTTTGCCTAAGGATATTTCTCAAGGTTTTAGAGATACCAGAACTGGAGCTGTAATCATAGATCTCCGTCTCTCCCGTATTTTACTTAGGGTATATGTTTCACAACCCTTCCAAAAGATTTAAACATTAAACCTTCCGTGTAATTATTTTTGATGAAAAATGTCTGAATGTTGTGTAAAGACCTCCCTGTCATCTGAATACTGTCCCATATCTCCATTATGCAAACTTGGTTGATTTCCAACTGGGTTCCCCCCGGTCTCCTGAATCCTAATCATATCAACTTTGATTGATTGGAACCTGAGAAGGACAGGATGGATCTGAACCTTGTATTTCATCTATCTCAGAGCTAAAGCGGCAGCTTTTTCATCTCCTTTGAATTTGTCATATTAATCAGAGGATCGGTAGATAGATTACAAGTTGAGTTATGAATATATTTCTCCGTAACTCCAGGGTGTTTAGTCCTTGTGGATCACACAACCTATAAGAAAAAGCTTAAAGTTTTATGAAATCTATTGTTGCATGGGTAGAATAATTTATCAAGTGAAAATGCGATATTAATTCTGGTCTAGGCTCGGACTCCATATTGCCTGATTGAACCTATAAAATTCAAACTTAGATAAAGCCATTAGAAGATTTAATGCTGGTTGAACAGGGTGTTAAGGATACTAGGATACCGGTATTCATGGGTACAGGGATACATGAATTCATGGATACTGGGATACATGAATTCATGGATACTGGGGAACAGGAATTAGGGGGTACCAGTATACAGGAATTAATGGGTACAGGGATACAGGAATTCATGGGTACAAGGATACAGAATTCATGGGTACTGGGAAACAGAGATACAAGACTTTATGGGTATTGTGATACAGGAGTTCACGAGTTTTGGGTTTCAGTGAAACATGGATACATGTGGATACAAAAGTATTAGGATACACAGTAAACGGGGTTAAAGCGATAACTACCTTAATTCAAAACTATAGGTACAGGTTTTTATAGAAACACTGTTATATCATTATATTTACTAGAATGTAACTGGATATTAAAAGAAAGGAACTGACCCCTGGTCTCAAACTCTATTTTAAAATCCTTATAGCTTTCCAACCTGATGTCGATGGACCTTAGATATTTCAAACTATGAATTCTGTTAGAAAAAATCGACAAATTTGAAAATGTACAATGTATAGGGAAATGATTTAATTATCTACTGGTATAGGGCCCAGCATATGGTTCATGGTAACATATGACATGGTTCAGATAAGACCTGGGGGATCTATTGGACTTATTACATAAATATCCAAAAAGATAATAAATTGAAATTTTAAAAAACCATTAAAGTTGCTTTGAGAGTAGCTTTTTGCTAAAGTAACTTATTCCCGTTGTTCTTACAATCCTAAAGGGAGTGTTCAAGGAAAATTAAATTGGGTAAAGGATCCGAATCCGAATCAAAATTAGATTAGATCGCTACTAAGGAATTGAATCTTTGCCGCAAACTCTGATTTACTGATCTCTTTATCTTTACAACTCAATGTCGGGGACCCTAGAAATTTCAAAGTATAAATTCTGTTAGATCAATTAATCCAAGTTTGAAATATCAAAGGTTTACAACATTAGGTTGCAAAGATATAGTGATTAGAAAATTTGAGTTTGTGGCAAAGACTCAATTCCTTTACTTCTATCTACAATGTCTGAAAGAGGAAAATGGTTGAACACGCTTAACGCTAAGAACGGAGAAGTCCGGTAAATTCACGGAATTCACAAAAATATGATTGATTCGGATTCTACCAATATCTCCTTTAATTTTTCGCAAAACACTCCCTTTAAATTAATCAAATTGTTTTACCAACACTATAAACTTTTTACAAAAATATAGAAAATGTATCTGTAAGTAACAATGCTCTTTGCAATGCAATTTAACTGAACAACTAAATGCGAAACTATTTTGGCAACATTCAAGAGTTGGAGGCGTTTTCCTTTTTATATTTTATTGGCCTAAGCACGTTGTAAGAGGAATTTAAAAGAAAACAGGACTTGCGCACATACATTTTTTATTTCCATTCTTGCTTGAGTATATTGTTTTGTAAGCACATTTAGTTTACAAGCTTTCCAGTATGAACATAGGCCAAAGAAATTGAGTCTTTGCCACAAACTCTGGTTTTTAAATCCCAATATCTTAACCACCCAATGTTGTAGACCTTAGATAATTCAAACTATGACTTCTGTTATATCAAACAATCAACGTTTGAAATATCTAAGGTTTACATAATTTGGTTGTAGATGTATAGGTATCAGAAAATTGGGATTTGTTGCAAAGACTCAATTCCTTATTGAGAATTATGGCTCTAATTTAAACTTTGCATAGTTTTAGAAAACTGTTAAGCGTAATTTTTGATTAAAGAAGTAAAAAATTAGACAGTAAAATTATGCTACGGGGCGGTTATTGTTATGATCTTGTAATTACATAGTGCCATACATACTGATAATACACTAAACCTGGAAAGAAAGGAACTGAGTTTTTGCCACAAACTTAAATATTCTTATCCCTATATCTTGGCAACCCAATGTCGTAGACCTTAGATATTTCAAACTATTAATTCTGTTAGATCAAATAATCTATGTTTGAAATATCAAAGGTTTATACCAACTGGTTGCAGAGCTATAGAAATAAAAAATTTGAGGATTTGGCAAAAACTCAATTCCTTTCCAGAGGATATTAAAACAGAATATGCTTTCCAGAAACAAATAGTACAATATTTTCGACATCAATTATTATAAAGAGGTTTCAATGCTATCGGAAAATCTTTTATGGCACTCTTTGATTAAACCGTCATTACATTTGATAATCCCATAGATTCTAAAGATCAAGTCAAGAATGTGAAACCAATTAAATAATTTATCCAGAAATGAGGAAATACATTTGTAATATGGATAATTCTCTGGAACAGTCCAAGCTTTATTTACCTTCAAGTTATGCCTTAAGCTATTGCTAACAGATGGGCTTTACTTTATATTTCAAGTTCGTTGCTACATTGGTTGTTTCTGATTAGATTACTAAGTTAGAAGGTCCAACCTAATTTTAATATACGATGTTGGTTTATCTTTCGTTAAAGTTACCTCTAATCTTAGTTTCCTTCAATTTTATACTGGCAAAAAACGATTTTGTCTTACTTTCCGTTAAAGTCTTTTCTTTATTGTGTTTTTAAAATAGGTTCGATATTTAAGTTCTTAAATTTAATCTGATGAAATATATTTGCAAGTTTAATTTTATTTGAAATCTTTGGTTCGGTCAGGAGACAGGTTTCTAATTTTATGTTCTTAGGTGAGATCATCAAGGAAAACAGGGATGAATAGATGTAGACTTATAATGACACTAGACTTTTAGGGCGCTTCCTGCACCCTTTCCTATTAGCAATTTTTCTTTTAACTGTTGCTTTTAAAGTCAGTATTTTTAACGTTATGAAAATTTTCTGTTTAAATTAGTGAATTTACGAAAATAATAAACGTCAACATTTTTTTCCTAATTTTTCTTTCAAATTTCATGGCCAATAAATATTGGATTATGCGAATTGCCAAAAAAAATTGGTCCCTATCTGTTCAGCCGTTTTGACTTTATTGTATACAACCAGTCAGACAGACAAGCAAATTTTTTTAAAGATGGATGCAAAGATTTGAAGCTGATTAATGCTGTTGAACCAACGAAACAGGTTAAGGAAAGGTTTGATTTCTGACAAAAACGTTGTGAAAATGGTTTCACATTTAGGTTTCTGACGCTCTGAGCAGCGATTTTAAGATGGTTTCTAGTTTCTCACGTGAGACTAAGCTCTAGTGTAATAGACTTGAAGATAGGATACAATTAAGGAATATTTCATTTCTATTGTTTACTGCCGCTGCTCTTTCCTAGATATTTGGGTGGGCTGGTTTTTGCCTGCAAAATGTCCATTATTATCAGGGTCAATTCAGCGCAGTTCCAACTCCATATTAGTTCCAGGATATACAGCTCTAGAGGGCAGGGGTAGACAAGTAGAGTAGGAGTAGAGAATAGTAGACTAGGAGAGTAGGAGCAGAGAATAGAGTAGACTAGGAGAGTAGGAGTAGAGAATACAGAGGGTAGACTAGTAGAGTAGAAGTAGAGAATACAGATGGTTGACTAGTAGAGTAGGAGTATAGAATTTACAGAGGGTAGACTAGCAGAGTAGGAGTGGAGAATACAGAGGGTAGACTAGTAGAGTAGGAGTAGAGAATACAGAGGGTACTCTAGTAGAGTAGGAGAAGAGAAAACAGAGGGTAGTCAAGTAGAGTAGGAGTAGAGAATACAGAGAGTAGACTAGCAGAGTAGGAGTAGAGAATACAGAGGGTAGTCTAGCAGAGTAGGAGTAGAGAATACAAAGGGTAGACTAGGAGAGTAGGATTAGAGAATACAGAGGGTAGTAGGAGTAGATAATAGGGTAGACTAGGAGAGTAGGAGTAAAGAATACGGAGGGTAGACTAGGAGAGTAGGAGTAGAGAATAGGGTAGACTAGTAGAGTAGGAGTAGAGAATACAGAGGGTTGTCTAGCAGAGTAGGAGTAGAGAATACAGAGTGTACACTAGTAGAGTAGGAGTAGAGAATACAGGGTGTACACTAGTAGAGTAGGAGTAGAGAATACAGAGTGTACACTAGTAGAGAAGGAGTAGAGAATACAGAGTGTACACTAGTAGATTAGGAGTAGAGAATACAGAGGGTAGACTAGTAGTGTAGGAGTAGAGAGAAAGTGGAGTAGAGAAGTAGTAAAGTGTGAGTCCTAATGTATGAGTAGGAGTAGGAGCGAAAGACGGGGTTGTTTCCGTGAAGAAGAAACAATAGAATAGATTGAAGGGAGAAGGCTCCCGGGTTTGAACCTGAAGTATAGAATAGTATATTGTAGCATTGTGTGGTTTAGTGTTTACCACAACCACGCTCTTGTTCTCACAACCTACAATCCTCTCCTTGTATCAGGGTATACCCCACAACACGGAGATATACAGTCTCATCATTCTTTACCCAAACTCATGTCCAACCAAAAGGTATGGAATACCATGGAGCAGGAGTCGAACCGTTCTCTCTCTCAAAAAGGTAATATTTTTAAATTTAAAAAGTCGGGTTTATTCAATGTAGTAACATGTCAAAAACCACAATTAAAAAAGACGACTTTTAAAGAACTTTTTCCAAAAAGAGTATCAGTCTACGGAACGGGTGGAATCCATCTCCATGGTATTCTATACTCCTTGTGTCCAACCCAGAAGAAAGGTAGGAAAGTAAGATTAAGGATGTTAAAGGTTCCAGGTCTCACTCTCCGGGTGGTCTCGTCCTTCCTACCTCGTCTAAACCAACATTCCCTATAATATGTCTGACGTATGATGGTCCAGTATGTGCAGTGGAATAAAATTAGTTTCGTAAAAAATTAATTATGATATTTTCTTATTTATGTCAGGTCTAATTATTTACAGGAGATTAAAACAGAGTACCAACTGGTAAAACATGGGCCTGGAGAAACCAAATGCCACTGAAATTGAAAATATTGCATTTCTAAAAATATATATGGAACAACATATTTATATATACATTTTACATATACAATTATATAAACCTAGAACTAGTAAAGAACCTACATACAGCTCATAAACCTAGATCTAGTAGAGAACCTACATACAGTTCATAAACCTATATCTGGTATAGAACCTACATTCAGTTTATAAACCTAGAACTAGTAAAGAACCTACATATAGCTCATAAACCTAAACCTAGTAGAGAACCTACATACAATTAATAATCCTAGAACTGGTATAGAACCTACATATAGCTCATAAACATAAACCTAGTAGAGAACCTACATACAATTAATAATCCTAGAACTGGTATAGAACCTACATACAGTTCATAAACCTAGAAATGTTGAGAACCTACATACAGTTCATAAACCTAGAACTGGTATAGAACCTACATACAGTTAATAATCCTAGACCTAGTAGAGAACCTACATACAGTTAATAATCCTAGACCTAGTATAGAACCTACATACAGTTCATAAACCTAGACCTAGTATAGAACCTACATACAGTTCATAAATCTAGACCTAGTAGAGAACCTACATACAATTAATAATCCTAGACCTAATAGAGAACCTACATACAGTTAATAATCCTAGACCTAGTAGAGGACATACATACAGTTAATAAACCTAGAACTAGTAAAGAACCTACATACAGTTAACAAACCTAGACCTAGTATAGAACCTACATACAGTTAATAAACCTAGAACTGGTATAGAACCTACATACAGTTAATAATCCTAGACCTAGTAGAGAACCTACATACAGTTAATAATCCTAGAAGTGGTAAAGAACCTACATACAGTTAATAAACCTAGAACTGGTATAGAACCTACATACATTTAATAATCCTAGACCTAGTAGAGAACCCACATACAGTTAATAATCCTAGAACTGGTAAAGAACCTACATACAGTTCATAAACCTAGAAATAGTATAGAACCTAGATACAGTTCATAAACCTAGAAATAGTATAGAACCTATATAAACATACATGTAAAAGTACAATTTATAAACCAGCTATAACAGAATGTATAAAACCAAAAAATTGGAATGGTACCCAGAAAGATTTTAGTTAATAAATACATTCTAATATTTTGTTTAAAACATGAGAACTTTTAAAACCCGGTAAACAAGACCACTTAGGACTTGCACTATGCTCCACTCAAACCTGTAGCACAGTCTCCAAACAAGTGACAAGTGAACCTCTGTATTGTGTTCTTTAAATGTTTGTATATTAACTGAATTGTACATACCAAGGTATTGTTGAACCAGGAGCAAAACCATTTAGAACCATTTCACATTGCTTACTCAGCTTTGATATCATTTATTAGAATTACAATAATCAATTTAGGAAAAGGTTGGCCTTGAGCATCCCTGGGTACAATAAGGTTTCCTTGATGAGAGAAATCCAGAGAATCTAGAACGACATGTGTGTCTGGCCAGGAGCTATACTTCTAAACAGAATTCTGAAGACGTGACATAATTTTTCATATTTATAGTTTACTAAACGACCCGGAGTACAATAGGGTGCCAGGGGGGGACTAATCCTCCTAGGGGAGAATAGGAGAACTACTGAATAGTAAATAATTCAAGGTATGGACAATCAATCGAAATATTGTGAGATTCTTGTGTAAATAATATGTGTACACATAAACATGTGAACCTTGAATACAATGCAATAATGAGAGGTTCATATTTTTAGTTGAATAATGATATATTGATTTCTTATACAACACAGCTGTTAGAAACATATGAATAATGGTTTATAAATGTTTCTCATAATATTTGCCCCAAAAAAAGTATTTCTTTTTTTGTCATAATATCCTGTTACTCTTCGATTTTGAAATATCCTTACTTTTTCTCCTATTAAGCATAAATCCTGATCAACTCTATTTCTTGTTTAAACCTTTCTCATTCTTTCTTGTTGTCGTGTATTCATTGTATTTTTTTCAACATGTTATCTTACTTTTTCCTTCTCCTCGGTGAATAGCTTTATTGTTTTACTTCTTGTTCAGTATGCATCTTTCCTTCTGTTCAGCTGATATTCTTACACTTTCCTCCTGTTCAGCTGGTATTCTTACACTTTCCTGCTGTTCAACTGATATCCTTCCACTTTCCTTCTGTTCAGCTGATATTCTTACACTTTCCTCCTGTTCAGCTGATATTCTTACACTTTCCTGCTGTTCAACTGATATCCTTCCACTTTCCTTCTGTTCAGCTGATATTCTTACACTTTCCTCCTGTTCAGCTGATATTCTTACACTTTCCTNCTGAACTTTACATAGAAACTGAATACTTGCCTTAGATTCTTAGTTTCGAATCCTGAACTTTACATAGAAACTGAATACTTGCCTTAGATTCTTAGTTTCGAATCCTGAACTTTACATAGAAACTGAATACTTGCCTCAGATTCTTAGTTTCGAATCTCTATATTTTTGCAACTTGGTGTTGTAATTCTTTGATATGGCAAAATTTGACCATTTAATTCATAGTTTAAAATCTAAAAGGTCTACTACATGATCAGGTTTCAAAGATATGAGGATAAAAGTTTAGAGTTTCTTTAAAAATATCATTTCAAGATAAAATTCTTAGTTTCTACAGAAACCAAACATAGAAATCTTGGAATTTTCAAAAATTGATGTTATTAGTATCATGAAAGTTGCAATTAAAAGCCGGTTAGATAGAATTAAGGCGATAATTCAAATTCGTCAATTAACAGTTAACTTTATTAGGAAAGGCAATTATAACAAATCCTCGAAATAACAATAAATAATTTTATCATCTTTTGTGTATAATCCTCTATCTATCAATAATTATTTGTGCAATTTCATGGTACGTATTGCCAACCAACGCTGGATATGTTCGTATTTGACGCAAAAATTGTGCAAATATAAAACACAGTAATAATTAGACGTTAAAATTTTATCTAATACTGGTTCAATTAGAATACTGAGAATACAGTATATATCTGTATAAATAAATCAAATCATAGAATAAAAAAATCAAATAATAGAATAAAGAAGAAAATATGTACATCTTCTTGTCTTTTTTACAGTCGCACACTGTTGAGTACCATCACTTAAAATCCATGGTTTTGCTTTTTATAGCAATATTATTCGCATTTAACTCACTAGGGTCATGTGAAAAATGTTTGATGAAAATAGTGAAAGCCACCAAAAATCTATGGGTAGCGATGACGATTATGTATCAGATTTAGAATTATGTATTAGGTTTCAAATAATTCGATTAGACTGAAAAAAGAAGAAAAAAAAACAATACTGTGACTGAGAAGATATTACATTGACAATAGTAGATTCTTTGATGTTTACCTAAACAATAAACTTATCTAAATCGTAAATCATCTTTGTTATTTTTAACCATCTCATTAAACAAGTTTCGACACAATGTAAGTTTAGAGCATCTTATAAAAATGAAGTTTATGACTGCACTGTGCGAATACAGGGATTAAAACATTTTAATAACTTTTGCATACGCCCTTAAAACTAGCGAGATTAATATTTTTTAAAAATTATTTTTGTCGCAGGAATTCTATTTAAAATGCTTTTTAATATCCAAAGACGCAATATTTTCCGTCGGACACTAATATTCATAAATCAGATCTTGGTTCTATATTTAATTTTTTCTAGAACACTTTGTTTTGAGAGGAAAAATTTAAATTCTGAAACTACTGCTAAAACAATGTAATAACAACCTCGCAATATATCTATGTAATATATCTATGTAATAACAACCTCGCAATGGGCAAAATTGCACTTTTTGCGATAACAATTCGTAAACTTAGAAGAATGAAAAATGCATGAACGAATATATATTAATCAAAGATTAGCTGCAAGCAGAATTGCACAACTCGATGCGTAACAGATTCAGTCTTTTGTTCCCGTAAATTACTTTCATGATAAACAGTATTTTTTAAGATATCAAACTAGGTTTTAAAACCAGCTGCTCATGTTGTGTCCTTAAAGCCTTGTTAAACAAACTCGGTTTGATCCAACGTCAGATGATAATCTGAACCTAATCTCTTCGGCTTCTCCGATACATAAACTTTTTGTCTAACCTTTCTTTTAAACTTCAACCCATCAATTAAAGCATCCAGAGAATGTGGAGCAAACCTTTGTCCTTAGTTTATTGGATTTTTGCATACTGAGATCCTTAGATATGAGCCACCCAACCCTCATTAGCAGTACATGTATAAATAAATACTTTAACTATTCCCCTGTTGGTGGAAAGTCGAGACTGCATCGAAAAAACTTGATGGAACTCAGTTAGAAAGTATATTTGGATATACAATGCATTTAATACGTATGTGTTGAGATAAATGATAGTATATTTAATAAAACATCCTCTTGCTCCTGAAGGACCTGAAGTGTCGGCAGTGTGTTTGCCAATTCCTTCTTGTCTAATATCTGGGTGTTGGATCAAAGATAAGATCGGAGAAATAAAGCATCAAGGCTGTCAGGTCCTACTTCTGTATTGCATATAATAAACCTGTTCACGTGAACATGGAAACCTTCTCCATTCAACCGTCCTAGTTTACATGGGACCTGGAGATAAGATCATTCATTGTAAACTATACAACCAAGTATTAAATTGCTCCGTCTAATAACCTGGAGTCCAGGTTTAGAATTGTTTAATTACGTTCCATTTATCCTTCATACAGTAATACAAACTTCTCATCCCTGGAAAATTATCCCCAAAATTCAGGTAACTGTTTGGTCTGGACCCCTTTGCTTAATAAAAATTAGAGTATCACTGGATCTTACATTTTAAACTGTATCCAGGTCTGGATCTGTATCCTAGGTCTGAAACTATATACGAGGTCTGAAACTGTATCCAGGTCTAGAACTGTATTCTAGGTCTGAAACTGTATACGAGGTTTGAAACTGTGTCCAGGTCTGGATCTGTATCCTAGGTCTGAAACTGCATACGAGATCTGAAACTGTATCCAGGTCTGGAACTGTATCCAGGTCTGGAACTGTATACGAGGTTTGAAACTGTATCCAGGTCTGGATCTGTATTCACGTCTGGAACTGTATCCTAGGTCTGAAACTATATACGAGGTCTGTAACTGTATCCAGGTCTAGAACTGTATTCTAGGTCTGAAACTGTATACGAGGTTTGAAACTGTATCCAGGTCTGGATCTGTATCCTAGGTCTGAAACTATATACGAGGTCTGAAACTGTATCCAGGTCTGGAACTGTATCCAGGTCTGGAACTGTATCCAGGTCTGGAACTGTATTCAGGTCTGGAACTGTATCCTAGGTCTGGAACTGTATTCAATGTCTGGAACTATATCCTAAGTCTGGAACTATATCCTAGGTCTGGAACTATATCTTAGGTCTGGAATTGTATCCTAAGTCTGGAACTATATCCTAGGTCTGGAACTGTATCCAGGCCTGGAACTGTATCCTAGGTCTGGAACTGTATCCAGGCCTGGAACTGTATCCTAGAAAGGGAACTATATCCTATGTCTGGAACTGAATACCATGTATGAAACTATAAAATAAGCTTGGAACTTTATCCTAGGTCTGGAACTGTATCCAGGTCTGGGACTGTGTCCTAGGTCTGGAACTGTAACCTAGGTCTGGAGCTGTATTCCAGAATTTTGAACTGTAACCCAGGTCTGGAACTGTGTCTTAGGTTTTAACTGTATCAATGCCTGGAACTGTATCCTAGGTCTGGAACTGTATTCTAGGTCTGAAACTGTATCCTAGGTCTGAAACTGTATCCTAGGTCTGGAACTGTATCTAAGGTCTGAAACTGTATCCTATGTCTGGAACTGTATCCTAGGTTTTGAACTTTATCCTAGGTCTGGAACTGTATCCAGGTCTGGAACTGCATCCAGGTCTGGAACTGTATTCAGGTCTGGAACTGTATCTTAGTTCTGGAATTGTATCCTAGGTTTTGAATTGTATCCAGGTTTCAAACTGTTTCTAGGTCTGGAACTGTATCATAGTTCTGAAACTGTATCCAGGTCTGGAACTGTATTCAGGTCCGGAACTGTATCCAGGTCCGGAACTGTATCCTAGATCTGGAACTGTATCCAGGTCTGGAACTGTATCCAGGTTTTAACTGTATCCAGGTTTTGAACTGTATCCAGGTTTTGAACTGTTTCCAGGTTTTTAACTGTATCCAGGTCTGGAACTGTATCCAGGTCTGGAACTGTATCCAGGTCTGAAACTGTAACTGTATCCAGGTCTGGAACTTTATCCTAGGTCTGGAACTGTATCCTATGTCTGGATCCGTGTCCAGGCCTGGAACTGTATCCAAGTCTGAACTACGTGTTGAACCAATTAGTTATGTAACCAGAGGTGCAGAGACTCATTACCAACCACACAATGTAATCATTCTACTCTGGAGTATATCAGTCTCCGGGCAACACGAACCTATCATTCTAAACCATTCCACACTTCACATTCTCAACATAATTTCTCCGATCCTTGTATTCTTCATGTTATTGTTCAACCAAGTTAATATTATACACACACCCATATTTATATTCCATTATAGATAATCCAGAAACTTCATTATCTTCGTAAATAAATTGTTATTATTATTGATATTATTATTGATATTATTAGTGTTATTGTTTTTGTACGCAAGAATTAGTAGAGCGCATTCTTCAACAAATTGTAATTGCGTATTTATTCATTGAATCTTGACCATGATCCCGGGAAATAGGAAACTATAATAAAGGAATCTAAATAATCCATAAAAAGCTTTAAACCGTTTAAAAATTAAAGATAAGAAGTGACAGGACGTGTCAGGAAGCGTCGAAAAGACTCTCCTCTACTTCTCTCAGAATGAGTGAACTCAAGCGAAACTAAAACTGAAGGTTTACGATAGTTAAATATTTTTAATTGTCGCATTAATACATTAATCTAAAGGTTGAAGACGTGAGAATAAATGGAACTATTAGCTGGTAGAATTATTAACAAAGCATACATTTAGTATTTATGAATTAATCAATGATTGGACGGATTGATGTTAAAATATTTTAGATTTGGTTGCGTGATCTGTCAGAAAACCTGGTGGAGAGGGAAGGGAGGGATGGGGGGCCTCATTGGTTCCGGAGTCAAATTTGTATTTCCCCCGAGAATCTTGAGTTTGAAATGGTTTCATTAAAAATGTAAATACGTCCTAGAATTGTCACCCTGGGACAGGTTGCAAGCTCCGAGTGGTTTAGTTGTATGTGTGTGTGTGGTAATGGAAATTATGAGTTTGAGGTCGGATTTGTTCTGATCCTAGTCTACTCCGGGCAATATTGAGACATATAGCGCCACATGGTTCCCTACTGAATATACGTAAATATGCATTCAATAATACACAATTATCCAGGCTTGGGTTAACACACCCCTTTACACCTTGAGCGCTCCTTCAATCCATCTAATTAATCTTCCGTATCATGATCGTTTCTCTTCTACTCATCTTGATTTTATCCATCCTTCCATGTCCTCTTCATCTTAGGAATCATTCCTCTCCTTGGTTTTATCCTTATCTACATATCCTACTCATCTTAAATAGCAATTCTCTCCAACTCATCTTTGTTCTATCCTTCCCTCCATGTCCTACTCATCTTAGATATCATTCTTCTCCTACTCATCTTGGTTCTATCCATCCTTCCATATCCTACTCATCTTTGGTACCATTCCTCTCCTACTTATCTTGGTTCTATCCTTCCTTCCATATCCTACTCATCTTTGGTAGCATTCCTCTCCTAGTCATCTTGGTTCTATCCTTCCCTCCATATCATACTCATCTTAGGTTTCATTCATCTCCTACTCATCTTGGTTCTATCCTTCCCTCCATATCCTACTTATCTTAGATATCATTCATCTCCTACTCATCTTGGTTCTATCCTTCCCTCCATATCCTACTCTCTTAGATATCATTCATCTCCTACTCATCTTGGTTCTATCCTTCCCTCCATATCCTACTCATCTTAGATATCATTCATCTCCTTCTATCCTTCCCTCCATATCCTACTCATCTTAGATATCATTCATCTCCTCCTACTCATCTTGGTTCTATCCTTCCCTCCATATCCTACTCATCTTAGATATCATTCATCTCCTTCTACTCATCTTGGTTCTATCCTTCCCTCCATATCCTACTCTCTTAGGTATCATTCATCTCCTACGCATCTTGGTTCTATCCATCCCTCCGGCCTCCATATTCTAAGCATCCTTTCATCATCTTTGTAAACTTAGAATATTTTAATTGATCTCGAAGAACTATATGTTCAGGAGACAAATCCGTGTTTAACTTATAAATGTCAAAGAAACCTTTTTATTTTGGAGGATCTAACTTTTCCAGAATAAAATAATTCTATGACCTTAAGTTCTTTTAAAGTTCTGTTCCTTTCTATCTTTATTATATAACCTAAACGATTTGAATATTTATATTCTATCCAATAACTATGAACCTAGTCAAAAGTTATAGTGTTAATTATTGCTAATAACCTGAAAACTTTAAAACTTTTACAACTTTTAACACTTAAGTTAAATTGAAACTAGAATTTGGATGGATGACTAAAATCGGTGGCGTATTTACTTTAACTTACAGCAGTTTTGAAGTTTTATGAAAAATTGTATTAATTTTATAATCATGTTCACAACTTTAAAGAATCGCCATGACATTTGTTCTACTATGATTTTATATAAACAAGTAGAAACCGTATTTTGTTTAATTATTTTTCTAGATGAAAGACATTCCTTATCACATTATTTTTGGATAGATTAAAGGCCTTATTAGATACTGCAGGCTCCAAGAGGTTTCTAGCTAGGGCAAATTAAGGGTCCGAGCGCTGCGGCTAGAAAATAAAATTTTAAAAATGAGATTTATTTTTTGCTGCTGGATGAACTAATTGTTTCTGGATGAATTATAAATGTATGGATGAAGTGTTTGTTGATTTGTGAATTAACTGTCAGCTGTAGGAATGGATAAGGAACTGACGTGAAACCTTCGTAGGTGAACACAAGGACGGATACGAGTATAGGAGCAGAATATTACTTAAATAGTCTCTCATAAAACAAACCTTTTTTGCTCCAGCAGCTCTAAACGTTAAACCCTCTGGCGATATAAATAACTCAGAGAGAGTTAATAAAATAAAATTACCAAAATGTTTCAGTTTCACTTTTCGGAGATATTCTGGTTAAACAGGAGAAAATTAAATCTTTAAAACAGGAGGAGGTTTACATTCTTTAATGTGAGAAGAGATATACTGTACCTATAGAACAGGAGAAGAGATGTCCTTAACCTATAGAACAGGAGAATATATGTCCTTAACCTATAGAACAGGAGAAGAGATGCACTGAACCTATAGAACAGGAGAAGAGATATACTGAACCTATTGAACAGGAGAAGAGATGTCCTTTACGTACAGACCAGGAGAAGAGATGCACTGAACCTATAGAACAGGAGAAGAGATGTCCTTTACTTATAGAACAGGAGAAGAGATGCACTGAACTTATAGAACAGGAGAAGAGATGCACTTAACCTATAATACAGGAGAAGAGATATACTGAACCTATTGAACAGGAGAAGAGATATACTGAACCTATTGTAGGAGAAGAGATATTCTGAACCTATAGAACAGGAGAAGAGATATACTGAACCTATAGAACAGGAGAAGAGGTGTCCTTTACTTATGGAACAGGAGAAGAGATGTACTAAACCTATAGAACAGGAGAAGAGATATACTGAACCTATAGAACAGGAGAAGAGATATACTGTACCTATAGAACAGGAGATGAGATATACTGAACCTATAGAACAGGAGAAGAGATATATTGAACCTATAGAACAGGAGAAGATATGTCCTTAACTTATAGAACAGGAGAAGAGATATACTGAACATATAGAACAGGAAAAGAGATATACTGAACCTATAGAACAGGAAAAGAGATATACTGAACCTATATAAAAGGATAAGAGATGTCCTTTACGTACAGACTAGGAGAAGAGATGCACTGAACCTATAGAACAGGAGAAGAGATGTCCTTTACTCATAGAACGGGAGAAGAGATGCACTGAACCTATAGAACAGGAGAAGAGGTGTCCTTTACTTATGGAACAGGAGAAGAGATATACTGAACCTATTGAACAGGAGAAGAGATATACTGAACCTATAGAACAGGAGAAGAGGTGTCCTTTACTTATAGAACAGGAGAAGAGATATATTGAACCTATTGATCAGGAGAAGAGATATACTGAACCTATTGAACAGGAGAAAAGATATACTGAACCTATAGAACAGGAGAAGAGATATACTGAACCTATTGAACAGGAGAAGAGATATACTAAACCTATAGAAGTGATGCACTAAATAGAAAAGAAGATGAACAAAATAAATAAAAATTCTAAGATATTTAGAAACAGATCGCTTTGAATGATGTTAGCAATGTATGTAGTACATTAACGTTTAAATTTTTTAAATGGAGTTCTCCATATTACTCTTGTAAACTGGGTTGCAATTATTATCTTCAGTTTACTCTTTCGATTATTATCTACAGTTTACTCATGCATTTATTATTTACAGTTTAATCATGCAATTATTATCTACAGTTTACTCATGCAATTATTATTTACAGTTTACTCATGCAATTACTATTTACAGTTTATTTTTCTAACTTTTAATATTCAATATTTCCCTGACTTTATAATATCCGCTTTACTACTGGTATAATTCTTTTTAAAATTCTCATTTACAGTATTTGTATTTAACTTATATCTCATATCTAATTCTCACCTACAGTTTATAATCTACGGTTTACTATTCCAGGGGAACCTGGAGAATAGGTTTCCGAGCTGAGCTCCAGGAATAAGTGTAGACTAGACTATGTATATATATATGAAGTAAACTAATGAGAAGAGTTAAATTAAAAACGTCTCTAGAAGAGTAGGGAGGGAGGGAGAGGTAAGTTTACGACCTAGATATTTTTCCTCCCTGCCTAAACAAATATGTAGGTTGAGTATGTATTTATCCTTGAATACTCTCCTAACCTAAAAATAAACAAGACTTTTTAGAATAGTTAAGTTTACTATCTCAACCCAATCACTGTTGTCTTTAAAGGTTTATGACGGACGCTAGAGAGCCAAGGGATCAAGCATTTTAAGGGAAGGTAATGAGAACAGAGAAGGTATTTGGGGATGAAGTATGATGATTTAAGGGAAGGTAATGAGAACAGAGAAGGTATTCGGGGATGAAGTATAATGAGTAAAGGGAAGATAATGAGAACAGAAAAGGTATGTCAGAATGGGAGTAGGATGGCGAGAGCAGATAAAAGAAATGGGAAAAACAAAGTATGGTTGAATAATGAAAATATTGTATTAGAAGAATGTATGAGTAATGTTTTAGAACACGGTTTAAAAAAGAAAACAAAATGAGATTGGGGGAGGAGCAGGGACTAATTTGGAGGGAGTTGAGAAAACAGAAAGGTTTCTATATGGAGACAAGCATCATGGTAGGGTTTAGTATAGATATATTACTGAGAGGGGAGGAGGGGAGGATAGGTATTTAGTCAACTTTATGACCGAAGATAAGAAATCTAAAAAATTTTAATTAGAAAAGAGTGAATTCATGCCAAAATACGACCCATGCCAAGTCCAAAAAAACGACAATTTTGTGTTGACCTAGTTTTTCGTTTAGGTTTCTTCCGCGTAGCTTTAAATAAAGAAAAATGTTGTTTAGGGTTTGGCTAGGTGTTTGCTTCTATTCAGTTTAAAAATAGTTTTATTAGTCTCCACAGCATACAACTAGAAGAGTTTGAGATGTAAACTATATTTAATTAATTAATCAATTAATTAATTAATTCAATCAATTAATGTTTTTAAATCATGATTTTTGATAACCTGGGTCTTCACTAGACCTGGGAAGCTTGTTTTTTTTTTAAATATTTACGTTTTATTTTGGTTTTCAGCTGACTCACAAATATCTACAATATCCTAAAAATATTGTTCTCTACGTTTGCTTTTAGTAAAGTATGCAAAATTATATGTCAGAAGATATAGGTCTGAATAGAATAAAAATAAGGGAATGAGCTATTTTATTCCGTTATCCATAATTTGATAAAAGCACATAAATTCTGAAATTTTTTAAAATATTTTAAAGAACGGAAAAATGATGTTTTTGAAAAATATTACCAAGCAACTCATGTTTATGTATCCATTTTTCAAGGGCTTTAAAAGATTAAAATAAAAGTTTCATTTATTTTAATGGATCAATCAATTATAAGTCAAACATTGTGTAGAATGCACATTATCCTATGCATAAAAAAATGATTACAAAATTTTGTGCTCATTTATAAGATTCGAAGTTTCAGCATAAGAGGGGGTGGACCCCCCCCCCTCCCCCACCAGAAAATGGTAAAAAACAATAGGAAAGTTTTCTGCAGCAAATATTAATTTAGAATACATATTCGAGAAATACATATCTTTAATATTGTAATTAGCAAAGCATTTAACAAACAAATTAGTTTGTAGGTGAACCAAGATTGTATTAAATAGGTAAGAAAAAAAGCTAGTTAAGAAATGCATCCAAATATTTCATTTATGTGCAACAATGCATATTGTACATCTTTGTATATAAGGTCAGGGGTAAGCCTAGATTTATGAGTTCACTTTAGTATTACTTGCTTTTGTTATGCATTTTGGGAAGAAATACTATACTAAGAGGTCCTTCCAAACCAACCTCTACGATGACCTCCCAAACCAAATATCAACAAAGACCTCCCAAACCAAATCTCTACGCGCGAAGACCTCCCAAACCAAATATCTACGAAGACCTCCCAAACCATATATCTAAGGAGACCTTCAAAACCAAACCTCTACGATAACCTCTCAAACCAAACCTCTACGAAGACCTCCCAAACCAAATATCTAAGGAGACCCTCCAAACCAAACTTTTTCGATAATCTCCCAAACCAAACCTCCACGAAGACCTCCCAAACCAAATATCTAAGAAAACCTTCCAGGCTTTATCTCTATTAAGACCTCCAAAACCAAGGATGTTCCAAACCAAACCTCTACGAGTCTACGAGAATCTCCCAACCAAAACCTCGATGTACAAGGTCCTCCTCAAACCAAGTCTATCTTAGGTCTTTTTGTTTATACCATGTTCTCCAAAATTGATCCTCTAAATCGTCCTTTCAAACTATATTTATTCTAAAGTCCTTAAACACAAAACCTAAAACTTAAAACCTATCTGATCAAGGTTTTTTCCAAACAAAATCTCTAGAAGATCTTTCCAAACCAAACCCTTCGCCGGTTCTACAAAAACAAACTTCTCTGGTAGAGCAGGTTCCCTGAAATCTAACCTTTACAATGTCTTTCCAAACCAAATTTCTGCAGAGTGCCATAAACCAAAGAATTTTATGAAGTCTTTAAATTCGATAACTCACTCTGCTCCGACATATAGGCAATTTTAGTTCATTTAAAAGGTTTCTTTCTCACGAGTTTTGTTTTTTTAAACTTAGTTTCTACCCGGTATTTATTTTACACGAGCATGGTTTCCTTGATACATATATGTATATGTTTATACATTGTAAAAACTGTTACTTTTACAATTGCAAGTGCGTACCTTCATTACACATGTTCATTGTTCATGAATCCGATAGAAAATATCTCCATACTGTTTATGTCTTGGCGTGAAATTAAATTGATAAAATATCAGAACTTTCCTGAGATGAAACCCAATTTAAAGGGCGTTGTTCTAAGCTCGCTATTATCTGTTCTTTGAGCTGTAAAGTGGAAGTTTTTGTTATACTCAGATTGAAAAGATTGCGTAGAGACGTGTTAACAATAGCGTTGTATAGGATACAATGATGGATGCTTCAATAATATCCGTCCCTGCTCCTGATTCTATTGTTTTTATCCAGGTCCTAGTTCAGAACCTTGACTTATCAATGAGTAAACATAAGAAACAATGGTCAACTACTCTCGGAGTCTTGGTGTGACAATTCAACTTAATTAAAAGAGTTAATGTGCTCTACACAATAGCCATATAATCGTTGTATTGTTCTACAATAAATATGTAGGTCATTTGAGTAAAATTGTGGAGAAGCTCTCGTATTAGAGTATTGGATTGCAGTTGTAGATGTTTGAATAATAATGTTATTTGTCCTGGAGAAGAAAGAATTTAAATTGCAGGTTTAACAACCGTAATGACACCGACAATTATATTTTTTCTGTATTGTTCTGTCAATTCAGAATTGTTTTAATCTTACTTTTCAAACTGCAGGCAATCCTAGTAATTATACCAACCTGGACTCTGCACTGGAGTAATCTTAGTAATTATACCTTGAATAATAAACCTTCCTACAGCTCGAAACCAATTCTTAAAACTAAATCTTATCAAGTACAAAACTATTTGGAGCTGTAGTTACATTTCAGTAAGTAAACCTTTAAGGTTAAACCTGATCTATATATGAATTCTACCCAGTGTACCTATATAAGTAAACCTGATCTATATATAAATTCTACCCAGTGTACCTATATAAGTAAACCTGATCTGAATTCTACCCAGTGTTCCTATATTAGTGAAACTGATCTATATCTATATATGAATTCTACACAGTGTACCTATATAAGTAAACGTGATCTATATATTAATTCTACCCAGTGTACCTATATAAGTAAACGTGATCTATGTATGAATTCTACCCAGTGTACCTATATAAGTGAACCTGATCTATATATATGAATTCTACCCAGTGTACCTATATAAGTNAAGAGATCTAAACTATGCATTGTTATAGTTATATTTCGTCCCAGTTCTAAACCTAAATGGTGTTTTTACAGATGTAAGATATTTTCTCAAAGGCTTTTCCCCAAAAGGCGACTTCCCAATTGACAATTTCCCATGTGGCACCTTCCCAAATGTACAATTTCCTAGGCAGCAATTTCACAAAGGTTATTCTTCTAAGGCGCCGCAGTTTGCAATAAGGGACCGAGCGCTGAGGCCAGGAAATTGCCGCATTGGGAAATTGAACAGTTGGGAAGTTGTCACTTGGGAAATTATTCTTGGGACAATGCCTTTGGGGAAGTACGTAACATCTTTTAAACACGATATCTTATAAAGTTTTTACGAGTTTTCATGTGTACAAACATGGCAAGGTTTCTTAAAAATCTAAGGTTTTCTTTAAAAAACCTAGGATTCCTGAAAATTTCTTGATGCAAAATAATCCAATGTATTCTGCATTTGTTATCTTTGCAAGGCTATTGATACTAACGTTAAAAACTCTTTATCTTTATTTAATCCCTTAGATGATTAATCGAATTAACTCCTTATACATCCCGGGACTAATGAGATTGCTCTTTTAGATCCTGTGTCCTAGTTACCTAATTTACAAGTTCAGGATCGTTCTTTTATAATAGACATTAAAGTGAAAGATCACGATTTAAATTAGTTGTTAATTTTGGTTGTGTATTGAGTAGAATGACAGGACTAGGATACGGCTGGTTAAAGAACGAGGTTTTATTTCTGTTCTCTCATCCCTAAACCCTGGGATTAAAATATTTACAGGAGAGTAAATGTATTTTGTTTGTTTATCCTACAATTTTATATCTTATTATGTGGAACCATGTGTGGTCAACATTCTTGAGGGGGGTGTACCTATATAAGTAAACCAGAGCTAAGACCTTCGTAAATTAATGAACCTTAATGGATAATCTTAAACTAAACCTTATCAAAGAATCCTTTATTAGAACTCTAAAAACCATCCTTATCAAATAAACTTTCAAGTGCAATCATTAATATCAAAGAAACCATTTCTATTGTTAAGTTTTGCAATAATCAGGCCTTAAACCTACATAAACTTACCGCAAGCTATGCAAAATCCATTAAGTAACCCTGACTTTTTTAGTCTTAAGTTTTAAACCGACATGTAAAGTGTTTCACTGATATATGAGTTAGTTTTCCTAGTCTAGGTTCAAGATTGCTCCTGGTACCCTAGGTAGTAGGTAATCGTATGGTTAAACTTCTACAGAGAAGAGTTTCTGTGATCAAGTATACAAAGGTCAGGGTGTGAGTTGATACTGTAAGATTTTAAAGATATGGATTCATATATCTAGCACACATGTTTCTTATAAACCTCTGGGTGTCCAAAGATATAAACCTTATAATAGAATAAGTAGTTCTATATAATAATGTGTAGTTCTAAACTTAACAATTATCAGAGATCTAAACTTTATATTATAATAGATAGTTCTATACCATCAGTTCTAAACTTAACAATTATCAGAGATCTAAACTTTATATTATAATAGATAGTTCTATACCATCATATGCAGTTC